TTTCCACATTTTCCTCCAAGAGAATTGCAGTGGTTAAAAATATTAGTGACCATCTTAGAATTCATTGTTAATATAGTTTTATTGATGATATACCAGATGGTATAACTAAATGAATAAATAGGTAAAAGAATGAAATCCTATACTAATAAAAGACAAACATGCAAATTGACTATACTTTCGCTATGCCTTAAGCCACACCCACCAGCCAATCAGAGCAACTATATGCAAATTAACCCAACCAAGATGGCGGCCGGAAGCCATGGAGCTGGAGCAAGCAGGAGGCTTGCTTGCTCCAGTAATGGAGGAAGCCAAGGTTCCCTTCCTGCCGCCGCCCGGCTCTGAGCTCCACTGAAAGCAACAAAGTTTCAATTATAGAAGGTAAATAAACCCCAGATACCTGCTTTCAGCCAGCCGTGGCTACGGAGCTGGAGCCAGCAGGAGTGGGTTGCCCCTGGCGATGGATGAAGCCAAGCTTTCCCCAGGCCTCCGCTAAAGGCAACAAAGTTTCAATTATAGAAGGTAAATAGATCCCAGAATAAAATAAAAGAAAAAAGAAAAAAAGGAGAGGCTGGGAGCTTACGTTGCCAGGATGCTTGGCCAGCCTGAAAACGGCCCTCAGCCCCTCACCCAGACTGGCCAGGCACCCCAGTGGGGCCCCCCCACCCTAAAGGGGGTGTGGCCAGCCTGAAAACAGCCATCAGCCCCTTACCCAGGCTGGCCAAACCTCCATGGGGTGAGGGTCCCCACTGGGGTGGACATCCTCTGCAAGAGGGCATAAGCCGGGCTGAGGGACGCCCCGAGTGCACAAATTTTATGCACTGGGCCTCTAGTGATAAAATAAAGAGTGAATGACATAGTTGAGCAACCCATATTTCTTATTTCTTTTTCTATGCCTCTCATTTTTAAGACATTAAAACTATAGTACTATTTTATGGTTCACTGTCTCATAATTTACTTTTTACCTAATAGTTTTGAATGGAATTTTATTTTGTGTACAAGTAATGGCTGCAACAAACAACAGGTGAACTAATTTTTATAAGAAAAGATCTTTTAAGTTATATATACTGTTAGACTTGTATTTATATGTTTACAGCCAACAAACCTGGTATAGTTGTGCAAAGCAAGTTCAAACATAGTTAAGTATTGCTGAATAATATTTAATTATTACATACCAATATTTATAGAAAAGTAAGCATTTAGAATGGTTAATATTCAGAAATTTGAATCTACTACATTTTTAAAACAATGAATTTCTTTAATGAATTATCTTTTTTTCCTCTATTTTATAAGAGTGAAGTCTACTTTACTTTCTGTCATTAGCTTTGGTACTTTAAATCAACATTTAAAATTGAAATATTGTTCTTACTTAGAAAGAATTCAATGTATTTTATGTTAATACATTTTTATTTCACTCACTAGGGAAGACTGAATTAGCATATATTAGTCTATCTTTAAGCACACAGTTTGTTTTCAGGTATTTACTACTGGAAATTGTACACTTGAAAAGCTATACAGTTGTGTCTATGATTGTTTATTTTAATCCATAAAGACTGCTTCTAGCTGTGAGTTTGGAAAATCCTGGCAGATCAGACTGAATCCAGAATTACTTCACTAGATCAGATTGAAGCTCTCACATAAAAGTAGTTTTCCATCTGTCCAAGACTAGTTTCTCTGACATGTACAAAAGCAGATTCAAATATAGGCATGTGTTGGTCTGATTATTAGTTACTGGTAGTGACTTTGTTCCTTGGAACTTATTTTCTACAAAATATCCACTCATCTCCATAGTCCTCATCTTGGCATCATTAGTCCTATTGACATATGGCCACATGCTTTCTGGAGGATTTGATCCTTGTAAGGACACCACATGAAATCTTGGGCCACCTGTTATGTGAGAAGGTAAAACAAACCTTCAGCACATATGCTAAATAGTCAAGAATTGTGGGTTCTTCACAATTCTCTTGAAGTAATCCAATTGAAATCATGTACTCATGAAAGACTATAAGAAAAAGAAAAATGTAAATATTTGTGCAATACCCCTTAGAAATAAAGTGACTTCAAATAAAATAAATGCACTGAAGCTATTTTATTGGGATTTTGCTATTTCTAATTATAACACTATTTCACAAAATGTTGACTAATCTTTCAATGGATTTTTGCAAAATAGAAAAAAAAGGAGGGAGAAAAACTGGGACAAAGATATCTGGGTTTCAGTTCTCAAGTTTGCTAACCACAAGACAAACGAATTCATTACTTTTAGTTTGGGGCACTTCCAGCTATCCCTTCTGTATAGTAAGAATATGAACATCTCTTCTATTGATTTCAATGTTTTATTAGAAGTATCAAGTTGGATAATATATTTGACAATTTTAATATATAATGACTTGACAAATAAATGAAAAGTACCATTAGAAATTGAAGTGATATCCATTCCTTAGATGCATATCTTATTGAGCCATAAATAGGGTAACGAATGCATTTTAAAATTCTATGGCAGGACCAAGTAATCACTGTAGGTTGCTAGGCATTGATGATGCCAGAAACCACATATACTTTTGTTCATTATTGAATTTAATCTTTACAATTCTCTGAGATTACCAATTTTATTAAGCCCTCTAATTCTCAATTACCCAAAAGAAAGAAATTCAGGTAAGTCTATATAATTCCAACTGAAGATCATATATTAATCAAATTTATATTTTCAACATATTATGTTCATGAGAATAAAAATATTCAGAAAATTCTTTCATATCAAGGAATCAAAAACCATGAAATATTTACAACACAAGATAGTATATGTGATTATTTCCTAAAGGGTGTGGCAAGCAAGTTTTAGAGCAAGGTGAAGCCATGTGCAGGATTTGTGAGGAAGTGATAGTACACTCTTTTTTGGAAAATAATCAGTCTCATTAAGGGATATAGGAGATAATCAAAGATGAAGAGAGTAACACCATAGAAAAAAAAATTAAGTTAAAGGATACCCTCTAAATAATTATTCTTGGGTAAAGGCCTGAACCAGGACAATCTAGGCAAATTAAAGCAAATAGCCACCAAAATAGTTATTATTTTTAGAAAGAAAAATAAAAATATCAAGAATTTTTATTCATTCTTAAAAGAAATAACATTCCTAGAATAATTTTTATATTTCTAAGGTATGAATTATTTCATTTGTAAATCTTGCCTTTGGCAAACATACCGTACAAAGAAATATTTATTTTGCCTCATAGCAATTACCTTCTGCATACTACCAAATTAAAAAAAAATTAGCTGTACAATCTACCTTTTTTTCTATTAGATTAAATACAATGTTATGGAATTAGTAACTACATTATTAGTCAACTAGAGGCCTGATGCATGAAATTTGTGCAAGAGTAGGCCTTCCTTCCTCCGGCTGTTGGCACTGGCTTCCCTCTGGCATCTGGGACCCAGGCTTCGCTCTGGCCGCTGGCAGGCACCCAGGACCCGGGCTCCCCTCGAAGCCCCGGCTTCATCCGGAAGGACATCTTGAAGAACGTCCAGTCCAATTAGCATATTATGCTTTTATTATTATAAATTATGCCTAAAACTATCATGCCTCTTATTCATTTTATATTAATTTCAACAGGTATCATATCTACTTAGAATTAATTTTAAGAACCAGTGCACACTAGTCATCCAACTGTCTCCTCTCACTATATTGGTGTCCTCTGTATTTATTAAAACAGAATGGGCAAGATATTCCTGGGGCTTTTAACACTGAAAATTAAGTTATATACTTAGTCTTTCTTTCCTTTCTCTTTTTCTTTCCTCCTTTCTTTCCTTCTTTTTTATTTCTTTCTCCCTTTCCTTCCTCTCTGCTTCCTTCCCTTCTCTCCTCCTTCCTTTTTGTCTGATCCTTTATTTTTTCTTTTCAGCAAAATATCAAGAAGCATGTTAGATGTTTCAGCAACGTAATATTCTTTTCAAGTTACCTTAATTAATCTGTCATTAAAGAAATTCTTTTCTGAAAATTATGCTTCTAATATCCTCTATGCCTTGTCTCTTGCTTTGTTATTTGTCAAACAGTACATATACTCAAGACTGGGAGCTCTGCCTTGCCCACAGACTGACAGTAGTTCTGTCTCTGAACCTGCCCACAGTTTTTGGTTGACTTCCACTCAACCAGTCAATCAACAATCTTCACATTTACCCCCTATTGGCATGTTTCATTATTGCCTGTCCATTTCCATTACTTGTGTAATACTTATGTGGAAAACACTTTTTCCTGTGTTATCTGTCAGAATCCCCCTGCTCTTACTAGTAGAAGGAGGACTTACTAGTAGCCTCCTTTGCTGGAAGATGTTTGACTAAAAATGCGATTTGAAGTCAAATATTTCCAAGAGAATGACAGATATTGCTATGAGGCTTAAAATGAGCTAAAGTTGGTGATGTACAGACAAGATCCAAATGCCTTAATTTTTATTTGTTTGCTTTCTTTTAAAATTTTCCACATTATTCATATATCAATAGGAAATATGTTTTTAAAACATACAAAAATTGAAACAAAGATGCTTAACATAAAGGTGCACCTTATTATAAATATTCTGATCATTATAAAAATCACATGTTGCTAAATATTTTGAATTAAATATCACCTAAGGCTTATAAACAGTGATCCCAATGGTAAAATTTATTTTACATAAAATAAATAAATGAGAGAATTTTCTCAATTGGTAATTCATCTCAATAATTGCTAAAATTGAAATTGGAAGCACATTTGTTCTCCGATATTTCTCAGTGCCTAACTATATTAGAAGTTCACCAAATGCTTCTTAAATTGTATTTCAGCCAATGTAGTCAGTTTTGTAGTAATATACATTAAATTGTCTCAGACAATCAGGCAAACTATTTTTAAAGTATTCATCATTTATTGATCTTGTCATAAATAAAAATGCCACATAGTCCAATGTAGTAATTACATTGAAAATGCAAAGAATACATTTGAACCAGCATTGTTCAGATATCTTAAAATTTTATTTCAGCTGTGAATGTACATCCGAATGGACTGGACAAAACTGTAGTGAAGAAATAAATGAATGTGACTCTGACCCATGCCTGAATGGAGCTCTTTGTCAGAAGTCTACCATCCCTGAGCAATTTGTATGCCTGTGCCCACCCTTTTATACTGGAAAATTCTGCCATCAACACTATAACTCCTATGATCCACTCACTGCAGGAACAATTCAACATGCTTGACTTTGGTGGATGGAAATCATTATTGTGTGTGTAGAGAAGGTAAGAGCTTGTTTTTGTTTTGTTTTGTTTTGTTTTGTTTTTCTCTCTGGATGATGGCTTCTTAAGAATGGGTGAGAGAACACCTATTCACCATTGGGGGATGTGGGAGTATCTGACTCCAAATGCAGGCATATAAGTGTACTGGGGGAATAATATAAAAAGTTAACTTAAATAGAAATAGAGAAAAGGAAAAGGGTGAAACTTTGTAGCTTTGGGCTCTCTCTCTCTTTTTTTCTTTTTCTCAGAAATCCTCTCTCATTCTTTGCTAACAGTTTTTCTTTCCTGAATAATCTTGTCCATGTATTGTTACTGGCAATACCAGTATAATCTAGGGGGTAACGGTTTTCAAATAGTGTGCTGCTGCAGGCACACTAGTGTGCCACAAGAATTTTTAAAACATGCAAGGCCTGGCCCTAGCCAATTTTGCTCAGTGGATAGAGCGTCGACCTGCGAACTGAAGGATCTGGGGTTCGATTCCGGTCAAGGGCACATACCTTGGTTGCAGGCTGGATCAGGACCCCTGTGGGAGGCAACTAATCAATGTGTGTCTCTCTCATCGTTTTTCTCTCTATCTCGCCCTCTCCCTTTCACTCTCTGTAAAAATCAATGAAAAATATCCTTGGGTGAGGATTAACAGAACAAAAAACCAAAAAAAACAAAACAAAAAACATGCAATTCCTGACTATTTAGTCAGGGACAATGGTCTCTTTCCCTTATATTGTCAAACAAAAAAATGACAATAGCCAACACAACAATACCTAGCCATCTTGTGTGAATGAATCAAAATTATACCTACTTTGGGGGAGGGGATCAGATTGGCAAATAATTTAAAAAAAATATTTTTGGTGTGCTGCAGAATTTTAGTAATTAGTTTCTGCGGGCCACAAGATGAAAAATATTGGGTATTGCTGATCTAGGGTAATCAAATGCTTAGCTGTAACTTTTCTCCTGGAGCTATCTATAAACATTACTTCTTTCTGCTTAGGTTAAAGGTCAGTGCTCACATCCTACTGGCTACACAAGAACTATTACCACCTTTAGTAGTAATGCTTCTGCCAAAAAACTAGCACATCGTATTTTTTATTGTAACTGGAATGTGTCATAAGCACAATATAAAAATCACATTGTGTTTGGAGGTGTGCAACTATTATTTATTTCTTAATAGTCACTCATGGGTGCTTGTTTCTTTTCTTGTTACTGGCTCTACTAGAGTAGGAGTACTTTAAAGATAAGAATAACACTTATTTAATCTTCTGTCCAAAAAGGCCAGCGTAGACTCTATCAATTAATTAGGTACTTGGGTCAAATCTATTTCTGTTTGTTTTTACAAACTGTTCAAAACGTCTTGATTACATAAGGTAATCTATTATAAGAATATAGAGGCAAGTCTTTGCACCTGTGTACACAACAGAAACTTCTGGGCCTTCACAGGGATTGTAACTAGAAGCAGAAAAGTCATTAGTAATTGTATTTTTCAAAAATAACATGGATATAGAGCATATAATGTGGGCATATAAAGCATATGATAAATGTTTTCAGGAATGAGACAGGAAAATCAAGACAGGTTAAAATGTGAGGCGAGCATTTGATGTCCTGCTAACCTCAGTAATAATGAAGTACATGATTTAATTGAATAAATTTTCTTTTAACCAAAAATTGAGAGTGAAACTTTTTGAAAACATAGTCAATAGCAGACTACTTTTATTCAGCAGGATTATTCCATTGTGCTTTATATCTCCTACAAATATATTCTCAGAATGTAAGTAATATATAAATATTTAATGAAGGGCAGCAGTATATTTTCTAAAGCTAAATAAAAACTCTTCTATTTTCAACAGAGATAATTTTCTACAAGAGAGGCATGGTTTTTCAAATCATATTTTCTATAATTCATTTGCAATTCACAAACGCAGTCAGTGAATTTATATAATGTAGTGAGAGTCCTTTCCTGTTTTGGGAATAAGTTCAGAAATATCATAAAATGTTATCATCACCTATCAACTAGATAAGATTTTCCACCCTCTTGAGCATCTACAAAAATATCTCAGGGACGATTCAGATTTTACTACTATATATAAGTAAAATCTTGTATTTCTTTTTGGAATTTCATTATTCTACTTAAGGCTTCCAGAGAAATGTGACTAATGAAATCAATGACTTGGTTAGAGTGGCAAGTAGGTGCAATCATTTGTGTGTTTATCCCTTTCTAATTGTGATCCAGTGCATAGATATTTGAAGTGCAAATTATTTATGCACTTCAAATATATAATCAAGAAAAATAGTTTTAAATGAAAAAAGTGTTTATAAGAAATTGTAGAAGTAAGTTTCTGTGAAGTCTAACTGCAGTAAAAATGTTTACCTACGTTGCCTTTAATAGTTCAACCTCTGTAGCTAAAGTATTATGACATTACTTTAAAAAATTACCTCAGAATATTAAAAGGAGGCTGACTGAAATATTGTAGAAATTATACCCTAATTTGCTTTGATAATTGTTAATATGGTTTAAGGCCTGAGAGGGGGGGTGCAGGGTTGAGGGGATCATTGGGTAAAAAGGGGGGGGCATCTGTAATACTTTCAACAATAAAGATCATTTTTTAAATTATATTTTTATTGATTTCAGAGAGGAAGGGAGAGGAAGAGAGAGATAGAAACATCAATGATAATACGGAATCATTGATTGGCTGCCTTCTGCACACCCCCTACTAGGAATCGAGCCCGCAACCTGGGCATATGCCCTTGACTGGAATCTAACCCGGAACCCTTGAGTCCACAGACCAACACTCTATTCACTGATCTAAACAAGCTAGGGCTAAAGATATTTTTTTAAAAAAAATAGAGCTATTACAAATAAATAAATAAAAGGCAAATAATCCAATAGAAAAATTGGTAAAAGTTATGCATTAAAAAATCATAGACATGGCCCTGGCTGGGTGGTTCATTTGGTTAAGAGCATCATGCTGATATGTCAAGGGTTCTATCCCAGGGCAGGGCACATACATGAATCAATCAATAAATGCATAAATAAGGGGGAAAATAAATAAATAAATCAGGGCCTATGTCAAAGCCATTATATCTTTTTTTAAAGAAAATATTTTGTTCAAATTCTATTTTGAAGACTACTGAGATTTCAAATCAGAAAGAACTCCAAGACTCAACATCTTATGCAGATATAGAATTTGGAAGTTCCCTGAAACTGAAGTTGTTGGTGTTTGTCAAGTGACTAGAATATAGCATGTTATGAGCAAAGAGATTTGGGGCTTAAGATCTGAGTTCAGCATATGTTTTTGAAATTCTGTTAATGGTTTTTAGTCAATCTATTGGTTCTACCTCAATTAACACATTGGATGCGGGAAACGTATTTATACGTTTTACGTTGACAGGTAAACACAATTTTCCAGTGAGTTTTCCAGTATTTGTCTGTTTAAAATTTAAGAAAAATAATTCAGTATACATTTTATAGTAAATCACAAAAAGTTTCATTGAAAAAAAAATATGTAAAACTAAAGTTATCGCAATTTTACTGAATGTTGCCATTTGCGCAAAAAAATTAAGCAAAAACGGCCCGCATACAATGTTAAAATATGGATGTAGGAAATCCTAGAACCACAGCAATGATGTGACTACAGACTAGACAACTAAATTATAAATTACATTAAAAACCAGCAAGTACAGAAACTAAAATCTGACTTTATGCCCAATTGATTGCTCAGCAGGAAACTCTTTTGCTTTGTGGGATTGAAACTTATAGTCAAAACATTCTAATTGATCTTGTGCAATGTGAGCTACTTAAAAATTACAGGTGTAGTAAAACATCAGAACTATCTGGATCATGTTGTAAGAGAAAGTAAGAACAATGTTCTGTCTGGTCTGATTAGAATTTAGGTGAGACGAGTTAATTTGGTCCCTATGATATTGAACAATTTTTAGTGGAAAATAGGTACACAGAGACACATTTAGCAATAATAATTCGATACAGGTTTGTTTTATATATAATCCTGTTTGTTTAAAATTTTATGTGATAAAAAATCAGTGCTTTAATAAATATAAAATGTGACACAGAAAGACAAATCTAATTTCATAAGATTCCTAGAAACAAATGGATTTTAGACTTGGTATTCCAATAGCATTAGCTTTGGTGATTTAGTGTGCAATCAATTTACACACCTCAAAATTTATTTCATACTACACCTATTTTTTTTGCCCCTCTAAGTTATTCTTTGTACACAACACATGTCAGTCTTGCAATTGCCTGTTGATAATGTTCTAGAAATTGGAAAAAAAGTATTCTTTATTAACTGATTCAACAAATATGTATTGATTTATTACCATATATCCTGAATTGAGACAGGTTCTGGAGAAATAAAACATTCCAAAGATATGCCCTCAAGAAATTGAAAGCACAAGGGAGAGAAACACAAGTTAACTAAACATTAAAGTACAATGTGTGCCAGTCAGAGAAAGATAATCACATATGATCTCACCCGTACGTGAAATCTAATGAACAACATAAACTGTTGAACAAAAATAAATCCAGAGACATAGAAGCATTGAACAGACTGTCAAACCTCAGAGGGAAGGCAGGGTAGGGAGGACAGGTGGTAAGAAATCAACCGATGAACTTGTATGCATATGTGCATAACCCATGGACACAGACAATAGGATGGTAAAGCCCTGGGGTGGGGGGCTGGGGTGGGCTGGGAGACATCAATGGGAGAAAAGGGAGGCATATGTAATACTTTCAACAATAAAGATTTTAAAAAAGTACAATGTTGTGAGACTTTCCCATTTAAGATGGAAATATGTATGAGAGAGTATTTGTGGATGCATACCCCAGCTTCTTGTTTAGTGTGACAACTCTGAGTTAAGTCTCACATGATTTCGAAGAGGATCTCCAGCAGCCTGGAGCCTTAGTTGCCCACAGCAACAACCTGCTCATTAAACCACTCCCTTCCCTATTTTCTTTTCCTATTCCCTTGCAATAAGTGCTGGGATCACCTCTCAAATAAGCTAGTTGTTTGCAAATCATTATCTAAGATTTTTCTTTTGGAAGAACTCAAGTTAAGACTATGATTGATCCAGATCTGGCCATGTGACTGGAATATTGCCATTAAGAGCTCTTCCTTAGAACTGATGCTAAGAGAAGCTTTCTCTTTTTGTCAGTTTTTAAGTTGATGCAGCCAACACCATACCATATTCCCTTCACATGGAGCTCTGTATGTAGGAGGAGAGAAATGCTTTTGAAAGAACTTGTGCTGGCAGTTCCTATAGTTCTTTCTTTAATTCTACAAACTGCCTGTTATCTTTCCCAGCTAGACTACCAATAAATCCCATTCCTTGTCTAAGTGTTTTTGTTTGTATTCCATATGATGAAAAAGTTAATTCTAATGCATACAGGGTGGGGAAAGAGCTAATTAAGTAGGAGAGGTTGACCAAACTGAATACAACATAAGGATGGAATATAAAAACAACTTGAGGGTTACAGAGGTAAAGACAGCTCTAGATGGACTGTACATGAATGACTGTAAATATGTATTGAATACAGTACATTTTCTGGCTTATCAATCATCTGTGTGAATATAGTAAGAGATGTAAAATCATTTTAATGTTAAAATACATTTGTTTTTTAATATTCTCTTTAGAAAATATTCTTCCTCTTTCTACTTAGAGTAATATCTCAGTTTATAGGCAGGGACATCACCCTATCAAATACTTTTAATTTAATTTAAAGGGATTAATTTCCAAATGTAGCCACTTCATCTTTATGTCCCCAAGACAAAAGGAGCAAAGTTTCTATAAATGACACTTTACAAAGGATTACAATGTGGAAAATACTCCTTGTAAAATGCAGTGGAAGGAAAAATCAGATCATTTACATGTGATATTGATTTACACTTGTGATTCTAAGCTTGATGGATGTGTACTACCAAAGGAGGCAAGCAGTTGCATTTAAATGTATCTATTACTCTAGTATATATACTTCTATTATGGTAATGCTACATTACCGAAGGTGTATAATTTCAGCACCAAATAAATGTCACTTGACAAAATAGTTTGTCTAAATTTAAAATTACAGCTTTTGACAGTTAAAAACATGTGCTCATGTAGTAGCATGTCTAGTAGGTTTAAATAGCTTTGGAAATTTATAGTGAAATATTCTTCAAAGAAAATATATATTGTTGCCAATTAACTCTAAAATATACATTGTCAAATATACATTACTAAAAGCTAACAAAAATATTAGCTTTTATACTTATTTTCTAAAAGTTTACTTAAAATCAGTATTAAGAAATGTTAGGGCCTATTGAAAATATTAGTTCTATCTTTAGTAGTCTTCAAAATTAAATCTACAAATATTTTTGTAATACTGGCTAATTTTAAAGAATATATTAACATTTGTATTATACCAGAGGCTCAGTGCACGAAGTTCAAGCACTGGTAGGGTCCCTAGCGGCTGCTGGCTGCTGGCCAGGGCCTCCCTCCCTTCCCCCAGCCAGCCCCACCCTCTGGCCCAACTCCCAGATGAACTCCTGGTCGAGGGGACAATTTGCATACTACACTTTTATTATATAGGGTTGTTTTAAAATATAAAGGAAAAATTACAAAATTTTCTCACTTATGAAGAGAAAAATCTCTTTTTTTGTTTTTCATAAAGTTTTAAATATAGGGAAATTAAGAAGAAATAAAAGATTTATACCTTAATGCTTTTGAAAATAATTCACTTTTAATAATAATAGTATAATTTTGACACTATCTTGTTTGAATAAATGAAAGATATACTCTAGGTTTTCCCTATTTACTTTCACTTCTAATTATCTCAATGGATATTACTTCTAATGTGATAGTTGTCAAGGTAGAGAGCCCTGAATGATAAAATGTTTCCTAAAATGGTTATGAAAACCTAACTATTGGTAATGTACTTTGTTCTATGACATCTCTTCCAGAGAAACAAGTATAAATAGGCTTCATTGGTTAGGAATGATACAATATTAAGTGATTGATTCAGGTCCTAAGTATGAGCAGTAGGTTTAGTATCTTATTTTACATGTTTAGTGGAAGTGAATAAGTGTAAAAATATCATTTATTAACCAGTCACATACATTAACTGTTATAGTACCCAGGCAAGACACTAAGAAAAGGATCAAGAGGACATCAGTTTGAGTAAAACTCACTATTTCTGTGTAAATAATTCCACTGCAGTTAATAAAACAGGGTCAGCTGAATAGTTCTGGGTAGGGATAAATAACAGGAGAACAGCATAGAATTAATATCCACTGTACTTTTAATTTTGACAGACTTTTAGCTCTCACTGAATGTATGCAAATAAGTACCTTTTACACGAATAAATATCAGCTGCTAACACAAAGGACTATGGAAACTTTAGTTAGAGGCTAAGTATACACTCCTCTCCTTTAAGTCCCTCAAATATAAGCTTTCTCCGCAAAGCTTTGTCTTATTTTAAATGCAATCCATGCTGACTTTATTTTCTTCCTCAATGCCTACTGCATTTCAGCAATCTCATTTCCTCAGCCCATTGACATGTGTTGCCAGTTGGTAACAAAACTTCATCTCAGAAATGTCAAACTAAATGACTAAGGTATAATCACAGAAAATAAATTTATCCTGTGAGCTGTCTGAACTCGCAGGTCCTGATTGTTGTGATTCATCAGCCCTGCTGAACTAGCACTTCTCTAGCTAATGCCCCTGAGCTGCAGTGCCCAAAAGGACATTTCCAGGAAACATCCCAGTGTCAATATGACCTGCTCCCCAGACAAAGCTAGTCATACTCAAAATAGAAATGGTGGAATGCATGCAACTCTCTAAATCTTTAACTTGAAAAAAAATTAACTTGAATCAAATATTTAAAGCACAAGCTTATTATGTTATTTATAACTGTACTATGACATCTGTAATTTATGTATAACAGCAATAGTGATTGATGAATGAAGTGTGTTGAATAATAACTTGCTCACCTAAAATTAGGAGAATCATATTAACTTGGAAATAACTCACTTTAATTTTATTTTTAATGCTGAGGATATAACTCTAGTGCATGAGTGAAATTATAAGCATGCAACTCCAAAGTTTAACTTGAAGGTTTTTATAATTGAGTAATAAAAAATAGGACAAATTTATAATGATGCTTGTTCTGAAGACTATCTGGTCTACCCATCAGATAGGCTCTGCAGGGTTATGATTAATATTTCATGGTGCATCTTCATTTTATATTCCTACTTTTAACCTATACTTGTCCTTATATTTAAATGGAATTTCTTTTAGATATTATGGTTCAGTTATTTAGTCTATTTCTACCTTAAGTTGAAATGCTTTTTTAAATAACATATTTAATGTAATTACTAATATATATGGCTTTAAATATACCATCTTACTATTTGTTTTCTATTTCTTATATTTGTTTTTGTTATTTTTACTCTTGTCTTCTTTTGGATTAAATAATTTTAGGTTTATATATTATTTTCTGCTAAGGAGCAGCCCTATTTTAGAAGGTTTATTACCAGCTTTCCAAAATGCAGCTAGAAGAGGGTTTAGCACTTGACTCGATGGTACCTACTACGGAGCAGGACAATGGATTGTGGCATGGTGTGATGTGAGCAGATAAAGTAGGCCAATCCCATGTTCTCTCATGAAAATCTGAGTGAGGAAATATGGAGAGGATTTTCCACTGAGCAGTAGGTTCTGAAAGCTAAACAGTTGTGATGCAGAGATAGAGACCAGGGAAGCTGTGTTATATCATCTGCAAGCCAATAGTATATATAATTTGAAACTCTGATGTTTGTGGATGGAAAGAGGAGGAGAAACTATATGAGAAGGTACTAGGGGAGGAAGAAGGCCATTCATGGTAGTTGGACCACCCTCTCTTTCAGACATTTCTCAGTTCCAATACCAGTCTATGTGTATGCCAATAGTAAACACAGTGTTCTTAGAGTAATACAAATTTGAGAAGTAGTTCTTAGTAGTAATACAAATGGCACTGCAATTATTTGGTGCTTAGTTTTATCACTAAAAATGTAAAAGAGAGGAAAATCTTGTTTCTTATATTTTCTAACTAGTATAAAAAAATGTTACCAAGACAAAATGAGTATAAGTATATATTTTGTTATACCTAGTTAATATATAATCATGGAAATAATTGTATAAATGGTTATCATAAATATATTAAAATGTTAATGTATTTTAATAAGTGATAATTATGCTGATTTTTCTGACACAGTTTTGAACTAATTACAGCTGCCTCTCTTTTCAGTCTGTATATATTTTTTAATGTTCTTTGTTATTTTAAAATGTAACTGGCATGTGTTTAAATGGATGACTTATTATGTAGCTGTGAATGAAAATAATTTGTTTTCTTTGAGTCACTTGGATATGAAAAGCAATTAAATACTCTGCCTCATCTGCTAACTGCCTTGAATAAATTTGATCATTGAAGCTCAATTTTACTTTAAGATTGGCCATCATAATAATTCATTTGCTTTTCGGATGGTTTGAATTCTTTTTGTTTAAACACTAAAATACCTTAAAACAACAGCAACATTAGCAGCAACCCTATTTTCCCAGGGGATTTAGTAAAGTATTCCTCCCTTGATTCTTTCATCTGAATGCATTAATTAGAAAAAACAAGCATAATTTTATTTATACATTATATGAAGTAGAGTTGTATTAGAAACCAGAGATGAGGTGTTTTCTCTTTCTTTTTTTTTCTTAAGTTCCATTATAAGCAAATTCTCCAGACTGTTTATCACTGATCTGTTATCCACACTCTGAAATTGCTCATCCATATTCTTCACATCTCTCTTAGCAGGATTTGAAGGGGAACACTGTTAAATTAACATGAATGAGTGCTTCTCCCTTCCCTGTAAGAATTATCATGACTGTGAAGATGGGGTCAACAATTCCAGGTAGGAAAAACCAAAAAGGAAAAAAATATGTAGGTACATGTTTCTAAATGTATGCAAGTTTATATTTTCAACTGACAAACTGAACATCTTTATTATTAACAATTTTCCATGTTATACTTATTTGAAGCTTTGACTTTATACATTTATATCAATGCAATTCTTAAATTTCTTGTTTAAAAGGTGTGTTTGCAGACCTGTGTTTTTTGGGCTTCTGTGTGAAATTGAAACCGAGTGTTCCTCTAAACCTTGCCAAAATAATGGAACCTACATGGATTTGACAAACAGGTTAGATGCTACATTTTACTGAATCAATCATTCTATGTGTGTAATTTAACAAATAACAATGTGAACATACATATACCCATCATTCAACTTAAGACGTAGAACATTACTGATGCCCTGTGTTTGTTCCCAAGTACTCCTCCATCCTCCAGTCCAATTGTATTGAATAGCCTGAATTTATGTTTACCACTGTTGTTCTCAATATACAGTATTAACTGTATGGATGCCTGAACAAAATTCTCTTTAGTTTTCATATTAATATAACTGAAATAATGTTGTGTATAGTCTTCTGAATGAATTTATTTTGTTGAAATTGACTTTTCTACATTATCTATTAATGTATTTTTATGTGTTGTTTATTTTTAACTATTGTAGAATATCCCATTTAGATACATACCAACATTTATTTATTACACTCCTAGACATGGATTTGGGGGTTATTTCCTCTTCTTTCTTAGAAATAATAATGCTAGTCAAGTTTCTAAACATTTCTCCAAATACATAAGTACTAGTGTTACTCTAGGCTCTATACCTAGAAACAGATAAGTTGAACCATTAGGTAGACATTTCAAATTTACTATATCATGATTTTTTATTTCATTTAATTTTGGAAATGGAATATTCACAATCAGCAAAAGTAAATAAGTATTCCTATTTGCATTGTCAGATTATTCCATTAGAGCTTATCTTCTATGTGTAAAATTATATATCCTTCTGAATGTTGTCTATATTTTCATTATAAATTATAAGGTTGAGTATTTTTCCATAGATTTCAAGATATTTATTTTTCCTATCTAGAAATGCCTATTTATGTCATCTGCCCATTAATGTTCTCCTTTATTAATTTTAAAAAAGATTTATACGTATATTCTAATTATTAATTCTTTTGTTAGTTGTATGTACTGAAAATATCTTCTACTGATTGTGGCTTGACATGTAACCTTTTACGATGAGTTTTGAGTACTAAAACTTAATTATAATGTAGTTGAATTAATTGATTAGCTTGTATATGGTTTGATTTTTTATCTTGTTAAAAAATGTTTACCTTAGGATTTTTACATCTGTATTCATTAGAGATATTTGTCTGTTTTCTTCCCTCTTTTGTGTCTTACTCTTGCCAGGTCTTGGTAACAGGGTTCTGTTGACCTCACAAAATGTGTTAGGAAGATTTGTTGCCTCTTCTTTAATATTTTGGAAGAATTTGATAAGGATAGGCATCAAATTTTTTTTGAGTGGTTGATAGAATTTGCTAGTGAAGCCATCTGGTGTTAGACTTTTTCTTTTGGGGATGTTTTTGATGGTTGTTTCAATTTCCTCACTATTGACAAGTTCATTTAAGTTTTCCAATTCTTCATGAGTCAGTCTCGAAATGTTACATATTTCTAGGCACTTATCCATTTCTTCTAAGTTATTGAATGTTGTGGCATATAGTCTTTCATAGTATTCTATTATGATCCTATGTATTTCTGTGATGTCTGTGGTGTAACTTCTCTTTAATTTATGATTTTGAGCTTTTTCTCTTTTTTCCTTAGTGGTTCTAGCCAGGGGTTTGTCAATTTTACTAATCTCTTCAAAGAACCTGTTCTTTGTTGTATTAATTTTTGTATAGTAGTCTTTTTGTTCTTTATATCATTCAATTCTGCTCTAATTTTTATTTCCTTTCTTATGCTGACTTTGGGCTGCTTTTATTTTTATTTTTCTAGTTCTTTAAGATATAATGTTAGGTTGCTCATGAGAATTTTCTCATTTCTTGAGATAGGCCTGCAATGATACAATACTTCACTCATACTACTGCTTCTGCTGCATCCCAAAAGTTTTGATATGCTGTATTGTCATTCTTATTTGTCTCTCTATATATTTTGATCTCACCTTTTATTTCTTCCTTGGCCAAGTCATTTTTTATAGCCACTCTGGAAAACAGTTTGGAAGTGCGTCAAAAAAATTAAGTATAGTTACCATCTGACTCAGCAAACCCTCTTCTGGGTATCTACATGAAAACTTTGAAAACATTTATCTGCAAAGACACATGCACCCCTATATTCATTGCAGCATTATTCATGGTGGCCAATACATAGAAAAACAGAAATGTCCTTCAATAGAGGATTGGATAAAGAAGATGTGGTACATATATACGATGGAATACGACTCAGCCATAAGAGAAGATGAAATACTCCTACTTGTGACCACATGGATAGACCTTGAGAATATCATACTAAATGAAATAAGTCAGAAAAAGCTAAGAACCATATGATTTCACTCATATGTGGAATATAAAATTGAAAGAAACAAATGAACAAACAAGAAAAAAACAAAAACTCATTGACCTATGCAATAGTATGGTGGTTACCAGAGGGAAGGGGGTTGGGAGGGCAAAAAAGGATTAAGGGGGTCAAATATATGATGATGGAGGATGATTTGACTTTGGGTCATTGGGCATACAATACAATGTGAAGATCATGTATCAGAAATATACACTTGAAGCCTATATAATCTTATTATCCACAAAATAGGTGCACTTGGGGGGTCCCTCAGCCCGACCTCTGCCCTCTCTCAGTCCAGGAGCCCTCAGGGGATGTCCTACTGACAGCTTAGGCCCATTCCCCATGGGGAATGGGCCTAAGCTGCCAGTTGGACATCCTTAGCACTGCCGCTCCGCTGCACTCACCAGCTGTGAACCCGGCTCAGGGTTTCTGGCTGAGCAGCGCTCCCCCTGTGGGAGTGCACTGACCACCAGGGGGCAGCTCCTGCATTTGTTGTCTGCCCCTGGTGATCAGTGCGCATCATAGCAACTGGTTGTTCTGCCATTCAGTCGATTTGCATATTAGCCTTTTATTATATAGGATGTCACCCCAATAAATTTAATCAGAAGTAAAAAATGTTTATCTTAGGGGAAATATATGTTTCTTCTATTTCCTTTTTAAATATTTAAAGTTCTTCCATTCATATTTAAATTTTGATCTATCTGGAATTTTGTGTGAGTTATATTAGGTAGGAATCTGAGTTCATTTTTTTTCATATGAATAACCAATTGTGCCTACTACATGTATTAAGTAATCCAACCTTTTACCCACAGATTTTCCCGATTTGCAATGCTTTCTTAATCGCAGATTAAATTCACATATGTGAATATATCTATTTCTCTGCCTCTATTCTGTTTCCTTATTTCAATTTTCCACCCATGTGCCTATGCCACAAATCTTAATTACTTACCTTTCAAATACCTCAATACTGGTAGGGGAAGACATCTCATCTTTTCAATCTTCTTTAGGAAGCTTTAGTTTTATTTGACAATTTTTTTTTCTCTTACAACCAACTATGTTCTGCATAAGTCCCTACATCCAAACAATTAAACAAAGACCAGGTAGAATTTTAATTGGAATTCCATTGAATTTGTAGATTAATTTGAGAAGAATTGGTATTTCTTTATATTGGCTTTTTTTGTATTTTTTCTTTATTGATTAAGGTATTACATGTGTCCTTATCCCCCCATTGCCCCGACCACCACCCCCACTCATGCCCTCACCCCCATGGTGTCTGTGTCCATTGGTTATGCTTATATGCATGCATACAAGTCCTTTGGTTGTATATTGGCCTTTTAAAAATATTTTAAAAAACAGTCGGACAAATTCAACTGGACATTCATTGATTAGGATAAAAAAAGACACATTTGCTATGTCATGGTTGCCCTCCAATCAAGGACTATGTTTATCTGTCCTAATAGAGACCCAGAATCTAGAATTGCAGTCAAAATTTGTATCACAACCTGCTTAAATTTCTGGTAATTTATTATCATTTTCTATGGCTTGGGCACTGTCCAGTCTCGTGGAGTAAATAGTGACATGCTTTGAGCCGCTACTCCTGAAACTCTCAAGCCTTTCAAGGGGATGCTAATGACTAAAGTCACTTAGGAATGTAAAATTGCTTTTAGTTTAAAATTTGAATGAGTATGAAGGGGCATTTCAAAATCTTCCATCTGGGCTTTCCTTTATAATATTTTATTCCAGTATGGAAATTCTGTCTATTACTAAGTATATTGACAACACTAAATATTCAGGAACTGTGGGGAAAAGCAAAACAAAACATAGTTTTGTGACTAATCTACCGATTTAAATAATCTTGTCTTTTCACTGGTGGAACAGAGGTATTTCAAAGATAATCATAAGTTCAGGGCCAATATCAAATAATCTCTGAAAGGTCTGCATATCTTTCTTTCATCAGTGAAGTCATACTGGCAAATGGCCTCAGATCCCTCTGAGGAGACTTCAGGAAGAAACGTGTAACACATGTGACTATATTGCAAGGTTCTACTTCAAAGGCTCTAGCAATCATTCAGTTGAGGGACTGAGTGTGTGACAGAGCTTAGGTCTGAAGTTGTCTAAAAGCCTAGGAATCCCTACAAAGGCAAGTTAAATCATATTTCTGTCCTGCAGACGTATATATAAATGTAAAGTAGCACCATAACAGATTATCCATATAATTTATTTCTAGTAACCCATCATTGATTAGCCAAAGATAATCTGTGAATCAATCCAACAATCACCATTCCGTTTCTCTGATATGTATAATTATTTGCTCAATTTTTTTATCTGATAGGCAAACAAATTCAATAAGCTTTATCTATCATTGAATCCCATTATCCTAATTCATATCAGGGAACCCAACTTCATGCATCATTCTACATTGTTATCTCCAGCCTATAAAAGATAATCACCATAGAGCTTATAAAGATACTAGTGCCTCCTCACCAATCCTGTGCTTAATGTTGGTGAGTACAGTACCCTCCTGGGTGAATGGACTTTCTTCTTAGCTGATGAAATGCCCTCCTATAATCTCTGAATATAGAAATGAAGGAGCAACTGGGCAGTTTATGTACAATTGATTCCTTCAAATATTTCCATAACAATGAGCCTATGAACTGCTACCTCTATTATATAGAAAAAAGAAACAACAACAAACAAAGAAAAAACCTCTGGCAATTCTACCCTAATCTTCTAAGCTAAAAT